TCCTGAATCCAAACTGGAAGCTGGTTCCACAGAAGAGGGGCCTGAAAACTGAAGGCTCTCCTCATAAATATTTTGTACTTGTAAATCAGTTTTGTATGTGTAAAAAGAATTTGTGTGTGTAAAAAAAGATTTGCGTGTGGACTTAGCCCAAAAATAAAAAACCTGCAAGTTACAAGTACGAATTTTGACCCTGTTTTTCTAACTTTCATCTAATTGGTTAATGTCATGTCAATCACAAATGCAACAATCCAATCAGAGAACAGATGGGTTTGGCTGTCGGAGGGGCACTTTTTTTGAACTGCAGGTCCTTGAAGGGTAATACAGTTTGAAGCTGGAGGATCTCTATATAAATATCCGACCGCCGACGGACACCAGCCCCTGATTACACTGTGGAACAACAGTTATGGCTGTCTACTTGTTTTGTGCCATTAGGGGCCGAGTCCAAGAAACTGTCGCCCTAGTTTATTGGCCCTTTTGCAATAGATACCATCGTCAATCCTGTGTCTGTTTGCCTTAAGTTGCCGTGCAACATGCGCATTCACGTTTTCCATGTGTCCCACACAAACCCGTGCTCTACAGCCCATTGTTTGCCAAGTAGACACATACACTGACTGATCAAACGTTTCAACTTCCAGCAGGCCAGGTGGGCTCTGTTTACGACCTTCTGTTTAGGACTACACTTTGTCCTCACCTTTACCCAGACATCCTTTTTTTCCAGGCTGCTTTGGACAGTCTCTGGGAGAACAGGCACCTGGCTGGCTACAGGTTTTGTTCAAAACTGGGTCTCCAACTCAGTAATCCTGGTCTCCAGAGTTACAAACAGGCTACATTTATTACAAGTATCATTATTGATAAAAGAGGCTGAGGAGTAACTAAACATCTGAATCAATGAGCATGAAAGTGCAGGAGGGATGAGTGAAGAGGCCATGCTGCTAGCAAGTTGGCTACAAGCAAAGCTACGCTGGTGAATTCCTATAGACACCGAGTGAATACTGTGAATATAATTTGCGGGTGAATCGGGTGTGCTTTGGATAAAGAATATAAAGATAAGACTATGAAAAAAGAAATGGGTTTTATTTAAATCTAAAAAAAAGTCATTGTGGGTTGTAACAGGAACAGGAAGTGATACTCAACCACAGAGCATGCCGACACTAAAGTCGTGTCCAAATTCATGGGCTGCATTCTCCTGAGGACCCGGCCTTCGCAGTCTACATGGGCTGGGTCCTCAGAAGGTCGGGTAGGCTGGAAGTAAACCGCTGTGAAATTGGACGGTCTAGCCTTCATTTGCGATTTGCAGATTTGCGTCACCGCCGTCTCGGTGGAGTTTAATAAACTCGGCCGTCTGCTCCTTGCTATCTAAGATATCGACCATCTCACACTTCTGTTTAATCAGTTTTCTGTTTGACGTTTATTCAGCTGTGTGAAAACCATCCATCCATCCATCTTCATCCGCTTTATCTGGGGCCGGGTCGCGGGGGCAGCAGCCTAAGCAGAGAGGCCCAGACCTCCCTCTCCTCAGCCACCTCCTCCAGCTTATCCGGGGGAACACCAAGGCGTTCCCAGGCCAGCCGAGAGATATAATCTCTCCAGCGTGTCCTGGGTCTGCCCCGGGGCCTCCTCCCGGTGGGACATGCCCAAAACACCTCACCCAGGAGGCATCCTTGTCAGATGCCTGAACCACCTCAGCTGGCTCCTTTCTATGTGGAGCAGCAGCGGCTCTACTCTGAGCCCCTCCCGGATGGCTGAACCTCTCACCCGATCTCTAAGGGAGAGGCCAGCCACCCTTCGGAGGAAGCTCATTTCCGCCGCTTGTATCTGCGATCTCGTTCTTTCGGTCACTACCCACAGCTCGTGGCCATAGGTGAGGGTAGGGACATAGATCGACCTGCATTCAGAGGAGTCTAGGAATTTGGACATCCTTCGTCGCTGTGACGTAATCGGCCTACAAATGCGGCCTCAGGAGGATGCAGCCCATGAATTTGGACACCCCCTAAGTTAGGGGAAAAAAAAGATGTTTCATCTTATTCTGGGCCACTGCTGGTTAAAAGACCATGGATCCTGCAATAGGCTGGGTACAGAACAAAATGATTGGAAAAAGCCCTCATTGCCATGAATATTTACCTTCAGGCTTCTCATCTGCAGGTGATGATATCTCAGCCCTCACCACAACAGAAACTCTGAACTCTGCACTGTTCCACCAGACATGCATTTGACTTTGTATCCAGCCTGCCTCTATCTGCAGGTAATACCACCATTCTAACCACTGTTGATCATTTTTCCATGGCAGTTCACTTCATTTTTTTTGCCTATGTTCTCTTCAGCCTTAAAAACAACTCATTTATAATCAACCCAGTTTTTTGGCCAGGTATCCCGATTGATCTCCAACAGGGCTCAGTTAGAAAGAATATTGCACGGCCATCTGATCGCAGGTTAGTATCTCATGTGGTTTCCATTCACACACTAATGGACAAATTGAGCGAGCCTCCACCTTGTAGTTGGCTCTCTCAATTTGTCCATGCCCACAATTTCATGACTCCGTCAGCCAATGGTCTCTCATCTTTTGAGGAATCTGTTGGATGCCAGCGCTCTACTGTTTAAAGCCCAGGAAGATAGCATCATCTTCTGTGCACCTCTGATAAGCCACCCAAGATACATTGTTCTGGCTGATCATGCCCCTGGCCTCCTGCTACTTACCATGTGAGAACGTTACACTGTCTTCCAAAACTATTTCTTACAGAAATTAGTCAAAGAAACTACCTCCCAGTTATATTGGCCCGCTGGAAGCCAAAGTGATCATTCCTTAGACTGTCCAGACTGTCAATGCTCCTTTCACTGGCTGGAAGATGCCAGTTTGTTCCAGTCCCCTAATCACTCACCTGTGTGCAATCTCATTTGTCACCCAATATCTATGACTGAAGATTTTCCTCAGTTGACACCAGAATATCTAGTGTCAAAATCTAGTTTACCACTGTTGTAGTAAACTTTTGTTGTCTTTTCTGCTTTGAACTTACCTGATTTGAGTCCTGATCTGGCAAGAATCTAGACAGTTTTATTGATATGCTGCTATAAAGTTGTTTCTTTTATAAAAACATGTATTTCCTATATATTTAGAGAAATATATATTTTAGTTGAGTTAGAAAAGAAAATATTAGCTCTTTTGTAAATTATAGAATTAAACGTGCCACTAAATCTTGTCATAATTTACTTACTTTAAACCTTCTAACGCTCATTCAAAGACCCTCTGAGCATCTTCAGCAAGTGTGTCGAGGAAAGAAGTCAGAGCTTTGTAGGTTACAATATACGAAAGGCCAGCTGATGCTACAAGTCCGATTAATGGAATCCATCTTAATCCTTCTTCTAGCGTGATTAACGCAGCTGTGCATGCTAGTTGTGACAACACCTTCACGACGAGCTCTGCAGTTATTTCTCCTTTAGCCAGTGGTGACCTGATGACAGCATGCAGAAAAGTGTATGGCACACCTGTGGTGTTGGCAAGTTTTTCCAGTGATCGCTTATTAAGACCAAACCCATCTACATACTCTTTGGAAGCTTTAACCATCAAGCTGGCATCAACAGCAACAGACAGTCCAGGAACTGGAACAGCTGCTACAGTTCCAGAAAGACCAGCATATAATTTTATTTCAGACTGAAAAGCTTCTTTCTTCTTTTCGATGATCTCCAGGCTGGTGTTGGACATAACATACAGCAGAGTGTCTCTCTTGTGTGCAGGAAGTTCTCTCCCTAAGGTCTCTTGCAATGTAGGGAATTCATACAGGTGAGGCTCAAAGTTGGACAAGAGGAAGACCTGTGGAGACCTAATCCCTGCATCTATAAGACCTGCATTATAGGATATAAAATATAAAACAGTTTACACAATATAAACACAGAAATTTCCAAACTTGGACGAAAAGAAAAACTCACCTTTAACAGTTGTGTCCTTGATTTTTTCAAGAGTCCTTTCTGTACTGAAGTCTACCTTTCTCTCTGCAGCTCGTATATCGTTGTCAATCTTTGAGCGAACAAAGTAGAACTTTTTCTTCATCCTCCGAATCTCCTGAGCGAGTTTCACGTCATTTTCTCTAAAGCCGGTGTCCGAGATGACAATGAAGAAGTCAAAGCTCTTGAATTTAACACGTTCCAAGTATCTGGCAGCTCGAAGCTTCATGGTGCCAATTCCAGGAAGATCCCATAATTTAACATTGGGATAGTCTGGATGGAAGTATGGTATAGGATCCTTTGAGGATTCCTGAGCACCAGTAGGGGCAGCTTCCTTATGTCCTTCACCAATGCCTCTGAAGGCATTAACAAAGGTGGATTTACCAGAACCAGATTCTCCTGTGATGGCGATATTTAGTGGAATCTTCCAGGGTTCTTTTAAATATTGTTTGATTTGTGCAGCAGCTGCAGCAGCATTGTTGTTCTTCAGTTCATTTTTGACTGCAGAAATGAAGTCCTCCATGCTGATTCCTAAACAGAAGGAGAAAAAGCTGTTACCCTGCTTTGTTACATCTTTGTTTTTACATTTTTTGTCTTCTTTTGGCTTTGTCTTTATTATATTATATTTTTATGTAGTGTTCATTATATTATTGCATGACGGATGTCTCAGTTAAAAAAAAGTGATGATTTTCACACATTAGAGATTATTATAAAAGGTGACAAGAAAAATTTCTGAAGGAGGAAATGCAGTGCTGGATATTTAAATTAAAACGTATAAACAGATATATAGGAAAATGATCTTAAGTTATACTCCAGAAACAGAAAGGTAATAATACCAAGTACATTAAAGCAAAATGGAAAAATAACTAAACACAGAAAAAACTTGATCCCAGCTGAGACGAATTTTTTCTAAACACTGTGTCTCTGTGGCTTTCAATCCCCAAAACACGTCGGGTCCCCCGACACAAACAGAGTAACATAGTGTACGCTGTTAAGTGCCAGGATTTATACATCGGGGAAACCAAACAAGCTCTGGCTACAACACAGAAGAGCCACCTCGTCAGGCCAGGACTCTGCTGTCTATTTACACCTACAGGCCAGTGGACACTCTTTCAATGATGAGGATGTAACATCCTGGACAGGGAGGAACGCTGGTTTGAGGGCGGAGTCAAGGCGGCCATTTACGTGAAAAGGGAAAGACCATCTCTGAATCGAGGAGGGGCCTAAGGGTCCATCTTTCACCATCATACAATGCTGTGATTGCAGCCTTTCCCCAACTCTCTGTGAATGGTATCTTTGATCAACGAGCTTAGATCAATGAGCTCTGATCAGTGTTTGTTGATCAATCCCTAACCCTAATCAAAGAAGATGTGAATGTTAAAATGGATAGGTATTTATGCAAAATATGGTGGAAACAAAAAGGCATCATAAAGAGATGGTTAAAACACTGACTGTCAAAGTTTTCAACAATGGGTAATTGTGAGGGAAATCATTATAAAGGGAGGATGATTTTTTTCACTATGCTCTAAAAGAGATGTCCTTCTACAAAAATTAATAATAATACAAATCAAAGCGGTTTCTTTCACACCTCAGACATTTATTAAACAATTGAGCAAATACAAGTAATCTGCAATAAATTACAGGTAGTAATAAAATAAACTACTAACTCTTTTATGCTACGTCCGCACCTACACGGGTATTTTTGACAACGCAGCTGTTTCGTCCACACGTATACGGCGTATCAAATCACCAAAAACTGCGATTTTTTAAAAAACTGCTTTTTTGCGTTTCCGTATTTGTATCCCACTGTAACTTTACTGTATAAAGAGCTAACATCTCCAAAATGTCAGGAGTAGTTCGTAACTATGAGAAGTGTTTGTGAACAAAAAATCAAGAATGTGGGATACTGTTTGTCCGTGATTTGAAGAGCTCAGCACACGCTCCCAACGAAGGGAAACTAAGGCTACGTTCACACTGCAGGTCTTAAAGCTAAGTAAGACACAAAAGCAAAGAAAACACTGTGACGGTTGATGTGTTACAAAACATGACCAAAAACAATGACATCTTAACCACTAATATTTTAAAAGAACACTGTCACTTATTAACAAACTTGTTTGAATTTAACTTCAATACTGCACTAAATTATTATTAGTGTGAAAGTTTACTTGCCTGCTCTTGTACGGTACATAGTAATCATTCCAATGATGAATGAACCTGAAGGAGGCTGGAACAGAGCTATGTGTAGACACAATATAGTCTTATACCAGTGCACCTCTGTGTTCAGGTGACTATTCTTTCAGGACACAAGGTAATCTTTATTACCCAGGATAGAATGTGATAAGTGGAATTTAGTCAACAGGAATGGGGACGGTTAATTGCACAGAACAGTTTTTGTGGCTCACATAAAAGTTTGTATATTAAACAGTATCAATGGAAATGAAGAACAAATGTTGTCAACATGATTATAAAAGACGTTATCTTTATGACAAGCTGATAAAGAAAAGGCTGAGTCTGGGGAATTCAGACCTGTCACATGTTTCATCAAGGCTATAATCATGTTTGGTTTAACTTCATTTGGCTGAAAATGAAATATATTTTTGTGACAGAAACTATTTCTGTAGTTTCAGCAACTTAACAGGATGAGAAAGATGTTTGTACAGAAGCACATAGTAGATTTGGAATCATTTGGAATCTTGTGTTGTTCATTTCTTAATTTTTGTGTCTGTGATCAAAGTGTTTTTCCATTTCTTAAAGAAAAATGGAAGTATAATCTAATGATGGAATCAGGTACTTATACTGTATTTTCTTCTTGAATGTTGAAAAAAGAAAGAAGAGACCAACATGATACAGCCAGTTAATGATTTGCAGTATGAGTAGTTACACTTTCAGGATCTATTAAGATTTAAATGTTTCAGATCAAACAAATTTACATTTAAATACCATTTTTTCTTTTATAATACTGTGGAGTGTTGTTATTCAGCCACATTGGAGGGTTTTCCACCATGAACCGCCTTTAAGGTCACCCAGCACCTCAATGGAATTCAGGTCATGACTTTGACCAGGCCACTCTAAAGTTTTCGTTTTGTTTTTCTTAAGCCATTCAGAGGTGGAATTGTTGGTGTGTTTTCACACAATGCGCTTCGGACTGAGGTCACGAGCAGATGGTCAGACATTGTCCTTCAGGGCGTTTTGGTAGACGACAGAATTCCTACTCCACTTCCTGAGTCACCAAAACAGCCTCAGACCATCAAACTACTACTGCCATATTTTACTGTATGATTTTTTTTTTTTTTTTTTTTTTTTTTTTTTTTTTTTTTTTTTGAAGTCCAGGCCAACCAGAACCACCAATGGCGGTGGGACAAAGACCACACTAAAACCTTTTATCCAGTTTTTGTTGTGTTTAGATGTGCTTAGTGCCAACATGGATCAATTTTCCAATTCTTTTGTACTGTTGTACTAAGTATGACTGTGCAATGACAATAAAGAGGCACCTTATCTTATCTTATGAATGGCCTTATGCACAGTGACCTTTGAGATCCACGACTAGAGATGCGAATTGATAAACATTTAGTGATTCCAATTCCTTATCGATTTTAATTGGCTCCATTTTGAGAGTCACTACCATGTCTAAGCAGCATGTCAAATACATTTGTGCAAATTAATGCCATGGTGTCATGGTGATTCTGCTCCAGAAACACGAACAGGTAGAAACAGGTAGGAACTGAGGCTGCAGTCTGACTGCTCATCAGTTTGTTACCTGTTGAAGTTCAGCAGCGGCTCATTTATCACGGTGCTGGGCTGGGGTCAGCATTCACTCAGCTTTAACATCAGTCTGGGCTCTTGGCTAGCTTAGCGTTAGCATGCTGTCTGTGCAGGTGCTTGTGAAAAGTCAAAGTTGTGTTAACAGTGTAATGCAGTTGTTTCTGTCTTGGAGAAGTTTCTTCTTTACCACGATGCTCTCATCCCTCTGTGCAATAAAAACAAAAGTAATGTCCATTTCCATACTGTAGACTGCACCACTATACGAACTAAACTTGGTTGAGGGAAAGAACCGATAAGCGGGATCAATAGGCAAGCAGACTAACAATTTCAAGGAACTGGATTACTGGGAACCCATTCTCTAAAAGAACCGTTTCTTGTTTCTCATCCCTATCCACGACCCCGCCCTTCAAGACAGATGAGTAATGTGTTGTATGAGGCAGTGGGGAGGAGTGAGGGCCAGGACAGGTAAGACCAGTGATAGAGGACTATCCCTGGAAGGAGAGAGCCAGCAAACAACTGGCCCCCAT